CTATGATATGACCAAATGATCTGAAAAAAACTTATGAGACACGTACCATTATCCAATGCTCACACTTGAGTCGAACTGGTTTCTATGGTTTTGGCTGTACAAATAATTTCATTGTTCCGCTACAGTGTGCAACTGCTGAACCTGATGGTCGTGAAAGAGCCCTTGTAATCGGTGGAGGAATAGCCAACTTCACCGATGTGGGCACCACATTCAATGGCATCATTCGAGCCTTGAAAGAGAAGGTGAGCTCAATTATATTTGTACTTGCTTTATTCATCATCCTTCATATACATTTAAGTATAACCGGAATGCTATTCTAAATAATTTTTGCAGGAATCAAAGCTCAAAGCAGCCAATATGCACATATACGTGAGGAGAGGAGGTCCCAATTACCAGAAGGGGCTTGCAAAAATGCGGGCACTCGGAGATGAAATTGGCATCCCCATTGAGGTATCCCTATCCTATACAACTACTTATATAACACCCCAAATCTAATAATGTAAATGAAGATTAATAAATGACCTGCAATGCTTAAATCCTTGTTTTCACCTGGACAATCCCTTCCCTTACCGTTGATTAAACATGAACAAATAAAAGAAGGAAAAAGAAAAGGTATACTTATTGGGAAAGATAAATTTAAAAATTGTTCATATATGTTGTTAGAGTTTGTGACCCTAAAATTTTTACATTAATCTACGTGTTCTTGTGTTTACTTTTTATTATTTTACGATCGTTTACTCACTGTAACATATATATTGTTTGGATGCTTGTCTCACAGGTCTATGGTCCTGAAGCTACAATGACTGGTATATGCCAGGAGGCCATCCAATACATCACTGCAGCTGCATAAGTTCGTTGGTTCTTATATTCAATTTCGGACTGTTTTACGTTTCCATTTTCCTTTGGGATATGTTGATTAGATGTCTATTTGAAATTGTGGCAGAAGCCTCATAAAGTAATGTTTTAGTTCATATTACTGAACCATCTGGAACTGTCTGCGGAGAAATGAACATCGAGATCTCAGGCAGACACAGATGGCATCTGTGAACAATAAAGATCTTAGCAGTAATGTGCTCTCTGTTGTCACCGCCTTAATTTTCCTAGTGAAATCAATCAGCCGAGTCATGCACAAAATACAGGACTAAATTTGTATTAAAATACTCGATCCGTTCGCAGCAACAAACTGCAAATCTCGAAACAAGCAAAATTCACACATCAATCGAAGGGTGAGTTTCTGCTATAATCACACAGCCTTTATATTACATTTCAACAGCCATGATTGAAAACGCTTAATACCATACAATAACACATATTATACAAATATATAGCCTTAAAAAAGGATCATAGACATGAGTTCATTGCCCTTCTCGTGACTTGCCGACTTGCCATTGCATTAGCCAAAAGCCCTCCACTGCATATATCTGATCTTCCATGCGTGCTTCTGTTTAGGCCGAGCTATCCGTCTAAGCACTGGCAAACAGTTTATGGTGGCGGAGGGTGGGGATCGACGGAATCCGAAACCGAAACCGAAACCTCCGACCCCCCTTCCGCCACCTAATATGCTTTTGTTAAAACCCCATGAATGGCTGATCTTTATCTGTTCCAATGGGGGTATCTCAAAAGCTAACGGGGGAATTAGGCTCTTGCTAGTGGGGTTTAAATAGCCGATGATTTGAGAATTGGTGACCCGTGATCCGGAAGTGGACCTTGATAAACTTTGTTCCTTATCCGAATCTGTCTACTTTTTCACCATCAAAAGTTAAAATTATTTGTCTTGCTCTTATTGGATCGCTAACTTTGGTATTTCAGATCTGATTCTTACTTTATGTAATTAGTCTTTAAATCTTATTGTGTGTAAACTTTGTTTAGATATATTAAATTTCTTAATCTATTAAATTAAACGTAATTAGAGATAATTAAGGTAATGGTGGGATGGTATTAGGAAAAATAATGACTGCTTTTTCCATGGTGGCATATTATTTAAGATTATTGGACACGTCTTTCTTTTGGAGTTGCATCAGTAGATCCTCCACTAACTCATGCTCATCTACTCACTTTTTTCAACCCCATCTATTTCCTCCTAATTCTCCACTAATACCAATTTACTTTTGTGTAATATGTCACACATTTAGTGGTTCTTTAATAAGTTTGGTGTTATACTGAATCAGGGATTTATTATTTTTTAAAAAAAAAATTAAAAGTCAACAAAGAGTTTATATAATTAAAGACATTTTAAATATCTAAATAGATAATAGGATAAATTACGTATTTAGTATTTATACTATTAATTTTGGTCCGTTTTAGTACCTAAACTTTTGATTTGTACAAAACAATACATAAAATTTAGTTTTTGTTTTATTTTAGTATTTCTTTTCAAAATTTAACGTTAAGTTTTTTAAAAAAAATTGAATGTTTAGGTACTAAATGTCAAAACTGATAATTTAGGTATTAACCGCGTTAAGTTTTTAACGGTGGGATAATAAAATGAGACAAAAACTACACACGTTAGGTATAGTTTGAAAAAAATTAAAAGTTTAAGTACCAAAACTGATAGTTTAAATATTAAATGCGTAGTTTTCCTTGAATAATATTATCAATATCTATTGGATTATTGGATTGTAATTCTCATTACATGATAATCTATTGAATCACCAATTTATCAATATAACAATTGATAAAAAAATAAAAACATATAACGAATGGCAATCCTCATTACATGACAATCTATTGAATCACCAAAAATCAATATCTCATATAGTATACATCAATAAACATGAATAGATATATTCGATTCCGGAGTCTATATTTTTATGATTCTTAATGGCAACAACTGATAGATATACTCGATTTTGGGACCCTTATTTTTATGCTTATTAATGGTAACAACTGATAGATATACTCGATTTCGGGACCCCTATTTTTATGTTTATTAATGATAACAACTAATAGATATATTCGATTGAGAATGAAAAGCTCTTATTTTATGTTTATTATCATGATCTTGCTTGATTCTTGGGGTTTGAGTTGGCATTCTCAAAGCTATAAAACAAATACTAATTGAAGGACCAAACGTTATTCAATAGTGACCATTAAATTTCCACGATTTTTGATGAATTGCGAGCACAGATTGAGATAAACTAACCCCCACGGCCCCACCATAAGTCAATGATCCAATTCATTTTCCTCACATGAAAAGATTCACATCGTACATTTATAATTCAGGTTATAATATATTTTTAATCTTGGTTGAGGGGCCCCGAAATAATATTAGTGGCTGAGGGGCCCTGCGCGGTCGCGCAGTTTGCGCCCCCTCAGCCACGGTTGCATCAATCCAATTTTAGCCAAATGATGCTGAACTTTATTCATTATGTAATCTTATGGAGGATTTCCACAGCGTCCCCATTAAACATAGGATATGGAGTCAATGGCTGATCGATTAAGGATTTAGGGTGGGCACATGCTCACCTTAAAATCCGAATTTTCTTCGAATATTTATCTATTTAATAATTGTGTCTATCTTGAAATTTTATTTGTTTTCATTCTATATAAAAAATTTATGTGATTAATATATATGTATACATATCCTAACAATTATTTCTGGATCCGCCATGAAGTGGTGTCATTGCCTATGTGGTTAATCTGTTTTTAAGTGAAAAAGTGTTGATTGATGCCATGGCTTCAACCTACATGGATTTTACTTTGTATCTTTCGAATTTCTCGCATAGATTTTATGCAAAACGACAGCCATCACCCTATGGAAATGCACCCAATTGTTTCATCTACACCATCCACTCGTGCAAAAAGATAAGCTTGTGGTTTGTACATTACACAAATGTACACAAAAAAAAAACATATTTTGTTGCATCAAAAATTTATAATTTGATCTTTTATTCCGACTCTAACACATGATTCTTATCTTGCATAAAACGAACTGTGGGTGACGGTGGCGATTGAATCGTCATCGACTCCGTTGAGGGGATAGCATTTGCTCTCAATAGTGCCATTGAATTCCATTGTCTTTTCATCCATGAAAGGAGGATTAGTAGGTGCAGGAAGGTCTTCTTTCTTTGTTAGCATCTGTAGCACTTTGGACATTGATGGTCTCAGTGATGGGATCTCTTGTGTGCATAGGAGTCCAATTTGCACCGCCCTGGCAACCTCGTCCTGAGCGTTGCCGTGCAACACTAGATTCGGGTCGTAAATCTCCTCAACGGTCCCTAATTGGAACCGTTTCCATGCCTGCTCCGTCGACGAATACACACAAGAAAATGAAACAAATCCGTAAGGATAAAAACCATTGTTCTCACATGAAAAGGCAAGGGACTCTGAGAAGCTTACAACTGCTACTATGCTGTCTGAATATTCCGTTGCTTTGCTCATGTTGTTTTGCTTCCCCAAAACGATTTCGAGTAAAAGCACTCCGAAACCATAGACATCCACCTTTTCGGTTAACTGGCCGTGGGCTAGGTACTCCGGAGCCATGTATCCTCTATGAATTTTGAAGATACACGTTATTAGCCATTGAATGCTGAACAATGGATCATGATGCATGGAAGAGGCTAAAGGAATGTGATGCTTACAGGGTTCCGGCGATGGCAGTGCTGATGTGACTCTGATCTTCCTCGAAAGACCTCGCCAACCCGAAGTCGGCGATTTAGCTCGGAGCTTCGAGTCCAACAAGATATTGCTAGCTTTTATATCTCTGTGAATGATTTTGGTCTTGGAGTTCTCATGAAGATAGGCTAAACCTTCTACTGTCCCAATAATAACTTCATATCTCTTCTCCCAATTTAGTACTTTGCCTCTGCTGGGATCTATTATTGTTTACAAAAGGGAAAATAGAAGCTGTTGGTGGACATATTTGAGCATCATTTTAAGCATGGCCTGGCACTATAATTAGAAGTATCGGTGTTTACAGAAGATGAAGCGGTCCAGGCTCTTGTTTGGGAGGAACTCGTAGACGAGGAGACTTTCAGGTCCCGAACAACAACATCCCAAAAGCCTGACTAGGTTTTTATGCTCCACACTGCTAATAATGTTGACTTCATTGTAGAAATCGGCTGCTCTGTGTCGATTGTTAAAGAATAGCCTCTTGATAGCAATCTCTCGTCCATCCGGTAGTACTCCCTGCAGATGAATATCAGACCGTAAAACACTGCTCGAATGCCAAAGAAGAGAAGTGGAGTTCAGAGGAACAGAATCACTACCTTATAAACTGTCCCGAATCCACCTTGTCCGAGCTTGTTGGCATCGTTGAAAGATCCAGTAGCACGCTCAAGCGTGGAATACTTGAAATTTAAGTTACTATCACGAAGGAGTTTCACAAACTTTTCTGCATCATTTGAACCTGGGAATGCAGGCAACACATATCGAATCATACCCCCATAATCAAGCTCGAAGATTTATCGAACACGAAAATTTTCGATAACGTTTTACCTCGTCTTTTCTTCTGTATGTATCTGTACTTCCAGATATAGACTCCTGTAGCTACCCCAATAGCTAAAACAACCAGGGAACTGAGTATACAAACTACTATGATTACAATTATGCCTGCAAATTCACCATTCCAAGTCACATATACAGCAAAATCCAAAAGAAAAACAGATTAATGCATAGGATTTCAAATTGACATGTGATGATTACCTCTTGATATTCCGGTTCTCGGTTTTTATTGAGAAAATCCGTGTCGGAGTACCTGATGAAGCAGCCGGTTTGAGTGCCCGTCCCTCGGACCAAGGCAAGCACCCGAGTATCGACGCTGACGCATTCTCCAAACATGATTTACAAGAAGTATTTCAATGTCCTCCAGCAGTCAACCAAAGCATAAGCCGAGTCATTTGTGCCGGAAACTGCCACCCGAGCCTTAGCATACCCTTCATTTTCCAATGCAGCAGCAACCGCATTCGTTACCCCCGCTTTGCCGATGCTCGAAAATTTGACCCTTTCCTGCTTGATTTCCCACACACTGCCCTGTCATCCGGTCCTGTACTCCTCGAAGAAGCTATAATTCTCGCCTCTCATGAAGCATCCGTCGAGGAAAATCCGGCCCCCGTTGAACGGATAGCATTGGGAAGAACCGTACGTGCCTCGCATAGCACAATACACAGTCGAGCGACGATAGATCACCGTAACACTGAGCAAGACCATAATTCGTATCAAGCCCTGAACCCGTAACCGCTGTTCCGAAACCCGATTCACGCATCTGTTGGCTGATAGTTTCCATCGTAGCAACAAAGCTCGGAACGTAAACCGTCGAGTTGTGCTCAAATTGGTGACCACATGAAATATTCACCGTATGGGCCCTCGGATCTCCTCTTATTCCTCCAAGTAACGCCATAACTCCGACGACAACCGATAACATATATCGAGAACCGACGACCTGAACTGTTTTATCCATTTTGGTTAAGTTTCCATCAACAATGAACCTGAAAAAAAGATGGAACTCATTAGGCGACCTCCATCCTTCTGTCTTACTGGAAATACCTAGTGGAAATTGTTTTAAGTCAACTTGTTCTAATAATGGTAGATGGTGATCTGCAACAAGAATACAAGTGAAACAGCTAGAGAACGTAGAAATTTCTGCACCTACCTGCTCATTTCAACCATCCCCGTAAGTCAAAAAAAGCTAAGCCCCGAATCGGTCATTATTCATGGACACGTAAATATATTTCAGTGTCGAAATTAAGAAGTTATATTAAAATAACTTAAGAGACGTGAATTTATAAAATTTTAAAAAGATAAAATTAAATAATTAATAAAAATATATAAAAAATTAAAAAATTCTAAGAGATGTGACCGCTTCAAACGTCCCTCCGTTCATCCCTGTTGCGAGGCTTCATCCCGGGTTGTGGGGCATCCATTATACCTGATTTTGCTGCAGCAATGAATTGTGTGTGTACTTGGATGTATGTTTGGTATTTGGTGGTTGAGCCTTTTAAACAATGAATTTATTAATATTGAATGTACTTTGGCATTTTTGTCAAAGAAGATTGAGCATTCAGGTCGTGCGATAATGTCCATCTGGAAAATATTATTAATGAAATTTAGGGATACGAATCATCGACACCAAATTAATGCAAGTATCTATAACTATCATACTTCTGCTTAATTTTCTTTCTCGGTGCGAACATCATATAATAATTGATGATGCACGAATTAAATTACTTTAATGATTAAAGAAATCGTTATTGTTTCTAAGATCATCGGTTCTAGCATGAGTGATTACAAGAATGATTAAACGTTTATTATCAAATGATTTAGAGTATTTAGAATATATATTACTTTAAAATCATTTTTAGCTTAATAAAAAAATAATTGATGATATTTTACAATTATTATTATTTTTTTATTATTATTAATCTAGGGTATTATAAGTGGTAGTATATGTTTTAGAGACTCTCAACCATTTGACAATAAAAATTTAAATATCTTGTAACCTCTCATGCTCGAACGTGATACTAGGGGTGCTTAATGAATAAAACGACTCGTAAGCAGCTCGAACTCAATTCGATCAAATATTAATAAAAGCTCAATTTGAACTCGATCTTGACTCAAGCAAAGTTCAACTCGACTAAGTTCGTGACCAACTCGTTAATTTTTTTAACGAGAAACGAGGAGAGTAACTAGCTTAACGAGCACGAGTCAAGTAACAAGTTTTTTTAACGAGCACAAGTTGTGCAAAATTTTAACGAGGAACGAGTCGAGTCGAACAACCAAATTTTCTAACGAGCACGAGTCGAGCACTGTATAACTCGCAATCGACTCGCTAGATAAACACCCCCACATGAGACTTCTAACAATAACAATCATTCATTTAACCATTGATATAACTTGTTTCGTACGCTATTATTATTATTATTACTTCTATGTCCCATTAAAAGTGTCACTTTTGATTTTTCAAAATGTATTATTAAAAAAATCAACAAATAAAAAAACTTATATTTACCTTTTTTACTATCAAAATAAATCAGTTAAATTTATTTATCATTTATTAAGAATAATTATTATTATTTAATTAAATATATTCCTTAAAAGTATATACATAATTAAATATAAAATGCAAATTATAAGACGGAAAGAGTGTTATTAATGGACACAGCTGGTACAGACAACTTTCGGCTGAGGTCCATATCGTAGATCTAATGTCGGTATCTGAATTTATGAAAGCAGCGGTGACGCAAACCGACCAACATTAATAATCGAAGGACCCACCATCCCCCGCCCACGTTACAGTGGGACACGTTGCATTAGCTTGTAAGAACAGTACCATATATGATTAATATAAAAAGTTTATATTTACACAGTAAATTAAAGTATTTAGACGTAAATACAATTTAATCTTCTTTGTATTTAATTATTTAAAAATCATTAATATAGGTAATACATTGGAAATTTTCTTGGATTTTTGGTCGAATAAAACTAAATTACTGACTACAAAAGAAAAGATTATTTGAAAATTAAAAATAATAAAACTATTATTATAAATGACAAGTGACTAATTAAAAAATTAATAAATAAATAAACGGTTTACCCTAAAAAAATAGAGTAAATTATACATTTATATTTAAACTATCAGTTTTGGTTCGATTTAGTAAATTTCAATTTTTTTTTTAAATAATACCTAACGTTTAATTTTTCTTTCATATTATTACTCTATCGTTAAAAAATTGAATATGTTTAATATTTAAACTATAGATTTTGATCCGTTTTAATAAATAAAATTTCAATTTTTTTAAAAAATTAACATTAAATTTTAAATTTTAAACAAAGTATTAAAATTAAATAAAAACTAAATTTTAAATATATTTTTTTTAAAAAAATACAAATTTAAAAATTAAAACGGGCTAGGATACTTTACGTATTAAACGCATAATACCTTAAAAAAATAAGAGTTTGAACCACCTATATACCTTACAGCTATGGGCTTAATTGAGCCTTAACAGCATTGATCAACGGAAAGAGAAAACATGGACTGGGCTGTACAAAGCTCAAACTGATAGATTTTGGACAAGCAATTTCCAATCCCAAAATAACAAGAAGGTTGGAATTCTGATGGAATTCGCTGTTTTCTTCTTCGTTTTCAAGCGATTGTAAATTTTTTTCCCACCAAACTATGTGTACAATGCTAAATAACTTTCCGAGAAACTAAAAGCCCAAGCATCTAAGCACAAGAACACTCATTTAACACCAGAAAAGAAGAAGAAGAAGAAACAAGAGATCTATCTACACTACAAATGCCAGAAAAAGCTGAAAATGAAAGAAGGGATCTTACCTTATTTGATTAGATGCAATGACTCGTATTTCTTGGGGCGGGGGGAAGAGAAGAGAAATCTGTATTTGATAAGTGGAAGTGAGGAATTAATTGGAAGAGAAGGCGTTGCCTTGGTTTAAGGCTTTGAATTTCAAAGCAAGATTATGCTTTACTGCGCGTTTTGTGAAGCGGTGAAACTGCGATACAAGTTTTCCTACGAAGAATCGAAAATCAATAGTGGGGAAAACGCGCAAGGGATTTTATTGGACGGTAATACAAAATATAATTTCTTTTAAATATAATTGATTGATCATTTATAATTGATTTAGATTTGATTCAAAATAATTTTAATATTATATGATTTAAATATAAATATTAGGATGATTGTTTTTCTCAAAGATTTTAGATTTAGGGTATTTGAATTTTTATTGTCAAATTATTGAAAATATTTAGAATATATACTACTATTTATAACCTCTTAAATTAATGAATATATATATATATATATATCTAAATTCATGTTATATATAAATTCATGTTTCTAAATAAAAATTTAGATTTAGATTTGATTACAAAAATAATTTATTAACTATGCATGTTATTTACATATAAATTTAATAATTAAGTGATTCAGTGAGACGATACATTAAATTTTTTAAGTAAGTTTAAAGTTAAAATCTGACGTTATGAATGAAACAAATTGATTTGAGAGAATCGTATATTTAATATGGGTTAATCTTTTAATAGGTGGATTAAAAATATTCAAAAAAATGAGTATTCAAATTCATGTTTAAAAACCTAAGAATTGATTTGAATTTGATCATTAAAAGTTAAAACAATCAATTAACTATGTGTATATTTAAATTGAAGCTATGAAATACAAGGGCAAGAAGCTATGCAAACAAACAAGAAAAATAAAAAAATTGTCTGAAACTTAATTCAATTTATATGATAAAACTAATTTAAAAACTATGTATTTGGTAGCTTTCAGGTTGGAATCTATAATCCATCCTTCCTATCTTACATTATACCGTTGTGACATCATTAACTTGACTACTTGCAAACCTTAACCTGCTTGTGATAATATGTTCGGCACAAGAAATAAAGACAAAAAACACACATTAAAAATTACAAGACAGTGGGAAAACAGTTCAAGCGGCTAAATTAGCCGG